GATTAAGCATATTTTAAGAGGCATGTTATCAAATAGGTTTATTCTCTTGGTAATTTGAGACATAAATACACTATATTTACATGATTTCTACCCCTCTCAAATTCATGACCTCTCCTCCTCCTCCCCTTTTTCTTCTCCTTTTTATTGGTTCTTTGAGACAGGGCTTTCCTGTGTAGCTGGCTGTCCTGAAATTCACTCTGTAGACTAGGTTAGCCTCGAACTCACAGAGATCTACTCGCCTCTGCCTCCCAAGTGCTGGGGTTAAAGGAATGACTTATACATATATGTATATATGTATAATAAATAAATACATATATGTATATTCTTCTACTGAATACATTCAGTGTTATACGTGTGAGTGTGTGTGAGTGTGTGTGTGTGTGTGTGTGTGTGTGTGTGTGTGTGTGTGTGTTTAAGGCTAGCCATTTGAGATGGATAGCCTATGGGGGAGCTTACCCCCAAAGATAACTAATTTTTCCTCCTTCAGGAGCCATTGCTTGTCTGTAGCTCTTTATCTAGGGATGAAGTCTTATGAAATTTCCCTCATCTTCATTGGCAGGTCAACTGATGTGTTCACTACACAGGTCTTGTTTAGGCAGCCATGTTGTTGAGATACCAGGGGAGCAGTGTCTAGAAGACACTATCTTGCAGCAGGCATCATAGTCCTCTGGTTCTTATTTTTATTGTTTTTGGTTTTTCAAGACAGGATTTCTCTGTGTAGCTTTGGAGCCTATCCTGGCATTAACTCTGTAGACCAGGCTGGACTAAAACTCACCGAGATCTGCCAGCCTCTGCCTCCTGAGTGCTGGGATTAAAGGCGTGCACCACCACCACCCTGTGGTCCTCTGGTTCTTACAGTCTTTCTGCTCCCTTTCCACCATGTCTCCTGAGCTTCAGGTATTGGGATTGTTTGTAGATGAACTAATTGGGTCTTTGCATCCCATGGTCACTTAGTCTCTGCATTTTGACCAGTTGTGGACCCCTGTAGCAGTCTCCATCTGTTGTAAAACAAAGTTTCCTTGATGAGGGATATGAGTCACACATATATAAAGGTAAGTGTTTAGAAATAGAAGTTATATTGACTTAGGAAAATGGGAGTAGTTTCACAAATATGTTTTGGCAAATCTGTACTATTTACCTCTTTAAGAATCTGTCGTAGCCCTGCACATCTCAGCCCCATGCCACACAGGCATGAGGTTCTGCCTGAGTGGGGGTGCGTGAACCTGGAAACTCCTAGCAACCCAGCGGCAATAAAGATCAAACACAGGCATCTTGTCATCTTTGGAGAGCTCTCAGTTTCATGCTGTAAAACTAGAGTCTCTTCTTTATTTACCATCTTTTTGGCTGTTTCTTAACCATGCTTCCATGGCCCCGAGGAGGCCATTTCTGTCCTTCTGTTCTCCTCTCTGCTAGATGGCTACTAACTTTTTGTCCTTACCTGTTACTTACACTCCTAGCTCCTCCACCCAGGTGTAGGCCTATTCAGATGCTTAGGCCCATAGAGATGCAAACTAGGAGGCATTGTACCCTGAAGTCATGGTAAACCATATAGACCGCTGGCATTAGCAATACAATAGTGGGACGGAGCTTTCGGGTGCTCCTGTTTACTGAAACTGGAGACTGGACCTCAAAACATTCCTTAATTGAACTATTTTGGTCCCCCACAAGAATCCATGAAAACACAGTTATTATTGAGTTAATTAAATACTAATCTCAAATGGCAGGCCTTATAAGTACTTAAAAAACTCGATAAGCAAAGGTATAGACCAAGATTTATACCCTGGAGAAGTCTTATTCTAGCAAAGATAGAAAAAAATAATTGCATAACAATTATTCAATTACTCTTTTTATTTATTTTTATTTTTATTTTTTACTTAAATTAGAAACAAGCTTGTTTTACATGTCAATCCCAGTTCCCTCTACCTCCTTTCCTCCCCTGCCCCCCACCAATCCCCTAAC